GCTTTGGCATGTTCCTAGCAGCGTTTTCCTTCATTCATACGTGTGGACGGGATTATTTTTTAAAACGAAAACGGAAAATCTCAGTTTTCAAAAATACCCGCGTACGTAGCCTCAGTCTGTGTCTTCGCATGTGTGTTTTCTGTTTTACTTTGAAGTTCTGTGCCTCATGTGGATGTGTCTTGCTTTGCCCTCGTCTTTGTGATTTGTATCAGCTGTGTTCCTCGTGTGTTCTGACGCTCCTTGTTATTCCCCTGTGTATTTATGTCGGCGTCTCCCTCAGTTCCGTGTCGCATCGTACCCTCACCCTGCTGTGTTTCCGCCCGTGTATCCTGCCTGCTATTTCCTCAGTTTGTATTCTCAGTTTAAGTTAGTTTGTGTTCAGCAATAAAGCTGCTTTTTCGGTTCACTTTCGTCTCCGTGAGTCTGCATTTTGGGTCCACCATTTCCTGCCCGTCTACACACAGCCATGACAGCAATGGTACATTAGTATTGAAAAGATTGTTTTCTTTGCTGTTCAGGTTAAGTTTGAGCAGGGAGTTCTCTCACATTTAACTGCAACTATATAATTTGCTGTGGACTGAATTAAAGGGTTTGTGAACGCTTTCTAAAACCATGCATGCTCACCTAACTTTACGTTGCACGCTCACCTAACTTGCGCTTGCACCTTTTGTCCACACGTAAACTGCGTTTTCGTTAATGGAAAACTGAGATTTTTAAAGACGCCTGCCAGGGTGGATATTTTCGAAAACTCAGTTTTCGCATTTACGTGTGGACGAGGAAAACGGAGAAAACGCAGCGTCAAAGGTGTGCGCCTATTTTGACGCCACACTGTGCGCCAAGTTTTTGTCTCGGTGCCATGAATTCCTACAATTGCAGACTTAGACAAAATACTGTTAATTTTATTATCTTCAGTGTTTAAATGCTTACATATACACACGCAGTTGTATGTAAAAAAAAAAAGTTTGTTTTATCGGGTTTGCTTGTAATTGTTGCCTATATACATTTTAAGCTATTATTTATTATTTAGTTCAATCAATAGATCAAGTTTTGTAGTGACTGAAATATATTGTAATTATCTGTTTCCTGTTTATCCTAGACAGGGCAAAAAAGGACTCCAAATTAAAAAAAAAGATAAAAATGAAAGACTGGTGCATTGTGCAGTTCAGCACTGGTGGTACAGAAATAGTCCCTAGTTGTTTATCTTCCGACAGCGTAAGATTACAAGTGTGCTCCAAAGCTTCCTTTGCCTAACCCTGCTGCACATGCTTGTACACAAGTGGGCATTCCTGAGGCCACTGAATCGAGTTTGCTTGAATAGAAAGCTAGTGGCCTTTGCTTTTCTCCAAATGATTGTGTCAATACTGCTTTCATGTGTCCCTGTGTTCCGTCTACGTTTAAATAGAATGGTTTGTCATAATCTGGTAATGCAAGCACAACATTAGTTTGGAGCATGATTTTTAGTTTAGTAAATGCTCATTCTGCTTCTGGTGTCCACTGTATTTTATCTTTTAAAGCAAGATCTTTTCCATAGATTAGGTTTTGCAGTGGTTGCACCTGTGCCGCTTATTCGGGAATCCACGCCCTGCAGAAGTTGCACAACCCGAGAAAACTCATCATCTGTTTAGTTTGTGGCTGTGGTGCATTTTGTATAGCCTCTTTTCTTTTGTTTAGTAGTTTTTTTCCCTGCACCTGAGAGGGTGTGCCCTAAGTATGTTACCTCAGGTCTCCATAATGTAGAGTATTCAGAGACACTTTGTGGCCTTGCTCTGCTAAGTGATGTAACACAGCCATAGTATTTTGTTTACACCCTTCCTCTGTGTGGCCAGTCACTAAAATGTCATCTACGTAAAGTAGAAATTGTCCTCCTGCTGGCAGGAGGCAGGATGTCATTGATTTCTTTAAAGCTTCAGCATAGAGAGTGGGGTTGTTTTGAAACCCCTGAGGTAACCTAGTATAGGTGTATCTCTGTCCCTCAAATGTGAAGCCAAACAGGTGTCGTGCACCTGGGTGTAAAGGTACTGAGAAAAAAGCATTTGATAAATCTATCACTGAGAACCATTGTTCTTTTGGTGTCACTTGGTTCAGTATAGTGTGAGGATTCGCTACTACTGGAGGTATCATTTCAGTAATTTCATTTATTGCTTGCAGATCATGTACCAAACGATACTTTCCAGTATTAGCTTTCTTTACTGGGAAGATTGGAGTATTGCAGGTAGCAGAATTAGTTTTTATTAGAATTCCTGCTTTTTCCATATCCTTCATCACTGGCTTAATCCCTTTTGTTGCTTCCTTAGATAAGGGGTATTGAGGTTTAATGGGCCTGTGGAATGGAACAGTCTGTACTGTTACTGAATCTGCATTTTTTATTAATCCCACATCAGTTGGTCCATTCGACCACAATGTTGATGGTAGGTTTTTAAGTGCTGGTTCCTCCTCCAGCGAAAAGATTTCTCATTCTTGTGTGCTGTCATGCAGATGAGCGTTGGCTGTAGTTCTTATCACCCAGCCAAGTGTGTATCTCATGCACCCTGTTCTTTTACCCTGTGCCCAACCCTCTTCCTCTGTAGGTGTATATTTATCATTTTCTACCTTTTGCAGGATGTTGCCTAATTGATACCATTGTGTACCTGCTGTTTTTGCAACTGACACATGGGGTTTTGTGATCCTATTTAGTTTTCTTACTGGGTCTGATTGGATCACTGAGCATACTGCATTTCCGCTTTTTGTGACAAAAATGTTGCAGGGTCAGATATGGGCGTTTTAGGCTGTGTACCTGTTTATCATACAGAGGGTCTGGTTTCCCGGGGTTTGTTTATAGCGCAGGGTGTTGTGATACTCAGTTGGCTTAATTTGTTCGGGACTTGAGGGGAGATATTTTT